GGAAGTGTCTGTCTGGTACACGCTCGTAAAAAACAGGTAGTACATGTTTGCTCTTTATTGCCAATTGTTACAAAAAAAAATCCCCATTTCGTTTTTTTCCATTTCTCCTCAAAAGGCTCACAGGAGCTGACCTTGTGTTGAGGCTTTTCCGATGATTTTACAACAAGAGGGGGAAGTAAACACTCCAGAAGAGAAGAGGAGAAATGAGCGGAGCATGTCTAGTGGATAAGAGGCACTTTCCACAAATAGGGTACAAAACCCTTCAAGAAAATGTTGACATCAGGAGGTCAAAGCAACTGTTATGAACTGTATTAATCATTTCCGGTAGGATTTGTAACTTTTATGAAAGCTGGAAAGCTGTAACCTTGACTTTAAAGACATTACTATGAAAGTCAATAGTTACAGATTTCCATCTTTCTTTAACATGTCTTCTTTTGTTCAACAACAGGTTTGAAAACAGGCTTGTAAGAAGTGAAGGTTGAGTAAATGATTTGAATTATTGGGTGAACTATACCTTTAAGGAAGTATTCAATTGATCAAAGGTTACATTTAAGACTTTGTTACAGAATATTTATTATTTCAAAAATGTTGGTGTTCTATTCATTCATCTGATTTTAAACAGCACCATTATTTCAGCATTGGTGATAACTGTTTTTTTGAGCACCAAATCAAGGATCATGTGACACTGAAGACTGGAGTAACAGCCTTTTTACTGCATCTCTGACCAAATAAATAGGCCTTAGCTAACATCACAGACTTTCAAAGACAGTTTAAGTCAGAATTATTAAACCCCCTGAATTATTAGCCCCTGTTAATTTCTTTCCCCAATTTCTGTTTAACAAAGAGAAGATTCTCTTAACACATTTCTAAACATGATAGTTTTAATAACTCATTTCTAATAACTGATTTATTTCATCTTAGCCATGATGACAGTAAATAATATTTGACTAGATATTTTTCAAGACACTTCTATACAGCGTTAAGTGACATTAAAAGATTTAACTAGGTTAATTAGGCAGGTTAGGGTATGAGGCAAGTTATTTTATAATGATGGTTTCTTCTATAGACTATCGAAAAAATCTAGCTTAAAGGGGCTAATAATTTTTATCTTAAAATGTTTTTTAAAAATTTTAAAACTGCTTTTGTTTTAGCCAAAATAAAACAAATAAGACTTTAACCAGAAGAAGGAATATTATCAGACAACTGTGAAAATTGCCTTGCTCTGTTAAACATTATTTAGGAAATATTTAAAAAGAAAGAAAATTCAAAGGGGATTTATTAATTCTGACTTCAACTGTATATTTAAGGGGAAAAATAGCATAGGCCCTAGCTTTTTAATTTATAATAACAGATTATGATATTTTTGGTCATTTAAATGTATAATAAATAATGTAACAATGTGGTAACTTTTAAATTAGTTGGATACATTGAAAAGGCCAAGTTAAAATAACAATTTTAGGATGGAATAAAAGATGTTCTAGTAATGTATGCCTCTAACAAACTATTAATAATTAAGCCTCAAAGAGTACCATACTCATGGAAAGTGCCAAACCGGGTCAGAAATTAACCTTTCCATTAAGAGGCAATATCTAGCTTTAATAAATAGCTTTTAGCTTCATAGGAGTACTTTTAAGAATCATCGTATTCAATTTTTGTGGTGTCTACTGTGTCAAACATTAATTAATATTAAAAATAATCAGGGGTGGATTTAACCAATAAGCAAGGTAAGCAGCCGCTTAGGGCCCCAGGAAATCCGAGGGCCCCCAAATAAATACCTAGAAGTATAAATGATACCATAAATTATATATATTTTGTACAGTGAGGGTTTAAAAAATTTATTTAACGTATGTAATCAAATCTGAGCACATGTATTCCCCGCCTTCAATCTGGGACCAGTCCAGCAGTCCAATCAGTAAAAATTTAGTTTTAAAAATGAAATAGTTCATTTAGTATGTTTAGTTGTCAATTTGGCGACGTGGTGGCGCAGTAGGTAGTGCTGTCTTCTCACATCAAGAAGGTCGCTGGGTCACTGGTTCAAGCCTCGGCTCAGTTGGCGTTTCTGATGTGGAGTTTGCATGATCTCCCTGCGTTTGCGTGGGTTTCCTCCGGGTGCTCCAGTTTCCCCCACAGTCCAAAGACATGCGGTACAGGTGAATTGGGTAAGCTAAATTGTCCAGAGTGTGTGTGTCAATGAGTGTGTGTGAATGTTTCCCAAAGTTGGGTTGCAGCTTTAAGGGCATCCATTGCGTAAAAACCTGCTGGATAAGTTGGCGGTTCATTCCGCTGTGGCGAAAAGGTCTAAGCTGACAAGAAAATGAATTAATAGTTGTCAATTCATCTTAAGAAAACAAATAGTTTTCAAAGTTGACAAGGTGCTTTACATGTCACTATTATTTTGCATAAAGATAAAATGTAGAAAACGAGATTGAATTTTATAAAAAAAAAACAAAGTAATAATAAAAAAATGTTTTAACTTTGGGCCCCTTGCCTGTTAATTAGGCAGGTTAGGGTATGAGGCTTAGGGCCTCAAAAGCACTAAATCTGCCTCTGATAATAATAATATTATTATATAACTTGTGAGAGAGATGAGAAAATCCAACACTCAACAGAACTGCCATTGTTCAATTTCCTACGGCTTATTTCCTTTATTCATCAGGGGTCACCACAGCGGAATGAACCGCCAACTTATTCAGCACATGTTTAACACAGCAGATGACTTTTCATTTGCAATCCAGTACTGGGAAACACCCATACACACTCATAAACACACAAACACTATGGCCAATTTAGTTTAATCAATTTACCTATACTGCATGTCTTTGGACTGTAGGGAAAACTGAAGCACCTGGAAAAAAAAAAACATGTGAACACGGGGAGAACATGCAAACTCTACACTTCTTTTGTGTTGCTTTTACCCACGTGGGGCGTGGACGGGACTGTGACTTGCGCCGGAAATGGCTGCTGGACCAGTTGGCTGCCCGCACTCAACGGACTGTTTTCCATTACCCCTGTTCCCATCCCCTCTGTCTATGTTGTGTCTTGCCGGTGTGCTTATGCTAAGATAGGGCTGTTTTTCTCCCTTTTCTCACTTTGTCCTAATCAAGGGCAAGCTGAGGGTTTTTTTTTTAGCCTAACTGTCCAAATGTATCTTTCTTCGTTTCTAAATGCTACCTCCTAAGATCTGTCTCCCCTGAAAAGTTGTTTGTGATGTTTTGTGTATGGTCTGGGGGGTCCAATTTCGCTATACTAAAGTGTAGTGACAAATAAAGGCTTGATTGATTGATTGATTGATTGATTGAGACATGCCAACTGACCCAGCCGGGACTTAAAACAGCGACCTTCTTGCTGTAAGGCGACAGTGTCTTGCAACATGTTTTAAGCACAAGTCTAATTGCCATATTTGGATGGAAACAGGTTTTCCCCCAACATTCTTCAAAATATCTTCTTTTGTGTTGAACTGACAAGATAAAAAAAATAAAAAGTTTAGAATCGCTAGATTGTGATAAATGATGAGGAAATGTGCATTTTTTTAAATGTGTGGTGCACCTTTGCCTCAAGTCCCCCATTCATTTCTGACCCTTATGCCAGGTTCCCCCACACATAAAGAATAAGCATCTGCTCAAGCTTCACATTTGGACTCTGATTAGTTCCTGCCATGAGTCCTTGAGAGGATTTAGTTTTTGTTTTTTTCCAAAAAAGAAAAATATAAAATTCTTATTGTACACCAATTCTCAAATTGTATTAATATATCATAATAAAAAGAGCTTCCTGTGTCAGCGCAGTTACCTGCATACACCGATCTCCTGATTATAAACACGGAAAGCATCACCAAACTTTACAATGTACACACTGGAGGGAATGATGCCAAAAAACTATTGGCCATTTTTCTTTGAGGTTGTGTGTATACGGAGACCATGATGACGAAGATGCAACAGAGAGAGAGAGAGAGAGAGAGAGACGGGCCTGTGATAACAGAGATATGGACAAACAAGAGAATCACAGAGCTACAGAAGTTATAGACTGGCCTCTCCTGCTCTGTGTAATAAAGCTTCTCACTGTTGGCCCCACTTAACCAACCATTAAACTCAAAGACAATGAGTCACTGCGGACGGGCTGAGATGAACAAATCAAGCTCTTAACCCGTCCTCAAGGCTTCTGTTTAGCCACTGCAGAGGGCAGCTTTTTCAGGACACACACATCCTGATCTTGCAGAGTCAGGCGCGTTCCTGGAACAACATATTTTGTTGATTCTGGGAAAAAAATCTTTTCTGTCCAAAAATGAGATACAAACCCATAAACCTAATCTACTTCTAAGTTATTCTGAACATCTGAAGATAATAAAAGGTGATTAACAACGATGATGTAGAAGCAGTTAACCCTGATTGTAAGCCTGAATTTAAAGTATTAGTTCACTTTGAAAATAAATGAAGGTTTTTGAGGAAAACATGATGGATTTTTCTCCATATTGTGAACTATGGTGCTCAGCAGTTAGAATTTTTTAAAACTGAAGCCTCAAAAGATTCTAAATGATCCCAATCCACAGAAAATGGGTTTTCCCAGTCAAACAATCAGTAATATTCTTAAAAAATTTTACAAATTATTTTTCATTTTTAATCCTTATGTGCTGTTGGGTTTTCATCAACTCTGCGGTGATTTCGAGTCTTAATTTGGCCATAATTTTTTTTACTGCTTTTCAGCTAGTGGAATTATTTTTGGTGACAAATCTTATTTTAATACATATTCACTCACCGGCCACTTTATTAGGTACACCTGTCCAACTGCTCATTAATGCAAATTCCTAGGCATGTAGACATGATCAAGACGATCTGCTGCGGTTCAAACCGAGCATCAGAATGGGGAAGGAAGGTGATTAAAGTGACTTTGAACGTGGCATGGTTGTTGGTGCCAGATGGGCTGGTCTGAGTATTTCAGAAACTGGGATTTTCATGCACAACCATCTCTAGGGTTTACAGAGCATCATTTCTGTAGGTGCAAATGCCTTGTTGATGCCAGAGGTGAATGGCCAGACTGGTTTGAGCTGATTTAAAGGTAACAGTAACTCAAATAACGACTCGTTACAACCAAGGTATGCAGACGGGCATCTTTGTGGCCTGTGAGTGTACATCAACAATACACTCTGGGTAAATTTACTACACTTTCGTTATGTTTGTGACTGTTTTTGCCCCATTAACTTCCATTATAATGACTTTTTTTGATTATGTACATACATGCATGACACTATGCTTGTTTTCCCGGTTGGGAAGAGGTACAATTAAAATTTTTTACTGTTGATCATCCATTGCAATAATAAAAAAAGATTGGTGTCTGTAATTTATATGTAGTATAGTGTGTTTGTGTGTCTGTGAGAGTCAAACAGGACTGAATTTTCATTTTTGGGAGAATTATCCCTTTAAATTTTTATACAGCTACACCGAATCTCCAGTTTGGATATTCAATGTGCAATATTCACAGACTTAATTTTCAGTCAGGCAGCCCAAGGGCTTACGGCCAACTGTTTTCATTGCAAAATTGTCACGTTTAAGATGTGATTTCATTAAAAATCAGCGATCTTCACTGCTGTTACATATACAATATGAAGGGGGTCTCAGATCTGACAAGAAGCACTGCTTTAAATTCAATTTGCCTCCGTTATGTTTTTAAAATGTGAGTTTATTTTACCTCAGTGTTTTCAACGGAATTTCTGCACTAGGCTGTTGCTACTGACGACGCTAGTGGTTACAACTTTCTTTCATCTTGTTTTACGCTTGAACAACTAAAGGAATGCTTTAGTCTATTTAGCTGAATGTATTGTAAATACATCACAACATCAGTGCTGTAAAAACAACCTGGTGCAATTGAAAATAGTCACATTAAGCCTTTACCAGAAGTTTATCGTTGGCTTTAAAACTCTAGCTGTGCATGGAGCCACCACAGTATAGAAAAAATCCTGCATGATTTCCTCAAAAACATTCTTTTTTTAAAGACAAAATAAAGACAGGCACATCTTGTATAACAAAAGGATGCGTACATTAATTAAGTGAACTAATGCTTTAAAAGAGACTGTGAGTTGTCCCTCAAATCTGATTGAATGATTGGAATGTTGTTCTGTGATCATCAAAGATGTTGATCCAGGAGCATGTTGCGCTTAGTAAAATCAGGTTCTGCTTTCCACTGGAGCTGCTGGGATTACGGAAAAAACCTCTGCCACTGAGAGTCTTTCTATGAGGAATGCTGAGCGCAGAGAGTGGCCTTTGCGCGTTGTCCGCACAGGGGGACCGTGCTGTCCTGGCTCTGGCCCTCCATGTCCATGTCCAGGAGGCTCTGATGGACACCGCCGGTGCCGGCACTGACACCGCTGTCACCCGAACCCAGCGGACTGTCGCAGCTGCTGCCCGGAGAAGAGCTGAGTGTCTGGGACAGAGAAGACAGTTTCCAGGGGTCTGGACGGGCACGGGCTGGGGTGGGACGGGGACGAGGAGCAAACTCCAGGGTTTTGGGACGCTCTAGAGTGCCCGTATAGCTATCTGGCTCAGGTGTGGGGATGGGAGGTGCAGGTTTGCGCCGAAGTGCTGAGGGGAACATCATAGACGGGTCAGGCAGACGTGGAATGTCAAGAGTTTCTCGAGAACCTGGAGGATAACACATAAACAACGTGAAAGATTCTTAAATGACAATCAAGAAATATGTGTGTATATATATATACACACACACACACAACAGTTCTGTATGGTTCTTGAATCTGGTAATCTGTCTGGTTCCTGAAGCTGATAACTGCGCAATATTTTGCAAATAACAGCACTCATTCTGCCTCTTCACCCTTGTGTATTACTCCGCCCACATACAGCGACAAGTAGAGACGCTCTACAGTTTGACAAATATTGCTGCTGTTGAAAAACATGATGTAGTGTGGTTTTGATTGCAACTATGTAGTTTATTTATAAGGATTAGGGTTGTAACGGTATGAATTTTTAACGGTATGATAATCGTCTAAAACAATACCACGGTTTGACGGTTTCGCGGTATACGGTATGTTACAAATGTTACAAAATAATAGAACAGTGAAGCAAATTTGACTTTTTCCAAATAATATATTTTTAGTTACTATAAACAACACCACTTACAATGAACAAATAAAAAAATAAGAAAATAATAAATAATGTGTCAAAGTCCAAATAAAGTCCAAATAAACATGGTGCAAATCCTCAGTAAAAAAAATAGATATAAATATTTACAATACTATAAATAGTTACATAACGAAACTAGATTCAATATGGAACATCCTTAGGTTTTATGTGCCAGCATGGATATGGTTTTCTGTGGATATGGATTTGGATATGGTTGTCTGCAATGCAGACAAACAGCTGCACCTTCATTTGCGTCTTTTGAAAACAGCAAGAGCAGCAGTTCGTCTTCGCTGTGTCACTGTTTTGTCATGTTTCTGTGCTGCTGTGCATGCAATAGTACTTAGTATGAGAATTATTTCATGCAAAACTTTTTTTTTTTTGCGTTTTATTTAGCCGCGCATAAATGTATGCCTATCTCTCATTCCGTGTTGTTCAAAAAGCTCGTTGTTGGTCCACAAACAAAAGCGAAACCTATGCTTATTGGTTGTGATATAGCGAGTTTGAACCAATCTGGGCATGGAGGAGGGACAATGCATCAATGTACTGTATCATGTCTGGTTTGTCCGGAGACACAGTGACGAGCGTTTCTTTGTCAAATCAGCGTTGTCAAATTTTGATGACGTAACCGCACTGATTCCGGAGCCTCTGCAAGTCCGCGAATGTTATTCTCTTCTTTATGCCAATCTTTGAATTGTATGAATCGGATCAGCGGATCAAAAGTTATTAAACATTTAAGAGCAATACTTATTTTTAGCCGCGGGCGGCTGTCTCGGTCTTTAAGGGTTAAAACCGTTGATATGCAATTGTTCATGGTATGATAATCGTGCACGTTCAAATCGTGGTAGACCGTCATACCAGTATATTGTTACAACCCTAATAAGGATAAGTGCCTATTTTAAAATATTTATGATTTCAGTGCATCGGCCACCATCAGCCTATCTAATCAGACCAAAGAAAGTGATGGTTGTTGTTACGCCACAAGATGGCAACAGAGACGGCATATTAAATGCTTAGGTAAGAAAAACATTTTCTCAGCGTAAATTTCAAACAATATATTGTTTGTGTTGTGACCAATTTCCTCTGCGTTTCTTCAGTTGTTTGTGTTGTGAGAGTTTGGAACACGTGTGCTGTCAAATTGAGGATCTCGTTTCTTAATTTGCTGGCAGCTTTGCCTTTAATTAAAGAATTAATAAACTATGGTTCACAATATTTTGTGCCTATAGTTTTTGTGGCAAGTAGCTTTGTAGTAAGCAAGATAAAATGCATCCAGGCAGTTGTTTTTGCAAAATAAAGCCCTTCAGTGTTTTACTTCAACCCTCTGATTCACATTAGGCTGCCAATAAGCCTGTTGGGCTTTATTCTGTGATAACAACCGACTGGATGTACTTTATCCCTTACTTAACTAAATAAAAGCAACATTTGGCGACCATCCTTTGCGTTTAAAAATGTTTGCAAAAAATGTTGTCCTATAAACACTTTTTGATTTGGAGATGTTTATGTGGTTCTTCTGGATTTAGTCTGTCGTAGTTTTTTGTTTGTTTGTTTATTTGTTTGTTAAAATATGTCGTGTTAAAAAAATTTATATTGTGACATGTATAAAAATACTTCATCATGCATTCATACATGCAAGTATTTGTATTACTTAATTCAAAAATGAATGTGTAATTTTCCAATTAAATTTGAGCCAAAGCTTAATTATTAATTTTTTTTATAAACTATTACAAAAGTATTTTGTATATTAAAAAAACTAATAATCACCTAATAACAAACATCAAATCATACCTGTATATGGTGTAATAGTAGGGGCATGAGCAGGCGGGAAGGGCATACTCCCATCAGAAGGGGTCCGGCGATGCCCCACAACCGTCTGCGCTCGAGGACGAATGGCTCCATCAGAGGGCGTCCGCCGGTGCCCGCGGTTTAATGCCATGGTTGCAGAGACATGGGTGGGAGTGAGGGACTGATTGGGCTCTCTTTTAAAGCTCTCCGCTCTCAGGTCCAGCAGAGGGTTTAATGCCGGTGCGGGTGACACCACCGGAGGGGCATTACTAGGGGTCGGGGCAAAGTCATCAGGATCAGAAGGCAACAGGGATTTGGTGGAGTTACAGTCAGAGAGGGAGGACAGGGACAGGAGGGTGACTGATGGAGACGGGTCCATGCTGGGCAAGATGGAGTCGTGATGGCGGTTGTGGGACAGGGAAAGGGAGAGTGTGCGGCTGGGTGGAGAAGTGCTGCGTCTGAATCGACCCGTGCGCTGGAACAGGCCCTCTTTTTTCTTGCGCTGCTCCTCTCGCACGTCCTGCTCATCTTGATTCATCTGAACACAGGTGAATGAATGTCACAGCAGTGCAATGTAATGTCCAAAACTACTAAAGAAATAAATATCAAGAAATTTATATGTATGTCTTTTAAGGTGAACTCTTATTTACATTTATAGATCTAAAGTTTTGTTTGTATGTAAAGAAAAGTGGCACGTTTATATATATTGTCTACTAGATCTTGTTACCCTGGTTAAATATTGAAGGGTTTTTCACTACATTTGCAATATGAATATCCGCTACTGAGTCAACAATTATGGCCCATTAAAAGTGTTCGGTTGTAAAGAATAGATTACAAAATTCCCCTTAAAATAAATTTAAATTTCCCTTTAGGGTGAGTTTTTCATTGACATGAGCAATGTTAATGACATGTGAATTTTAATTATGAATTATTGAACTTGCTGTGTTTATTCCAAACATACTTACATTTAGATTAATTTATATATAATGCATAGCATATTATACATGCATTTATGTTGAATTTAGTATGAGAAAAAAGTATGTTTCATGTTTTAAAATAAGCTTCTTCAAATTTTAAAAGTGTGAAATGTTATTGCA